GTTGTATGCTGTTTGATTTTTTGGGTTTGATGCTAGAAGTGCCATTTTATGTATTTTTTCCCCCCCCCCCATATGGTATGGGTCCCCCAGGACCCCCCCCCCCCCCGCCCCCTCGGCCCGAGACCCCGAGCCCCCGAATCCTGTCACCTACGGTCCCACCCCCACCCCGACCCCCTGAACTCGCACCCCGACACCCCGGCACCCCCACCCCCAGGACAAGCCAACCCGCAACCAACCATAAACCAACCCTAAACTAACCCTAAACGAACCCTAAATACCCCCTAAACCAAACCCTAAATCGTAGACCTCTAAACCTAAACCGACCCTAAATCAACATAAACCAACCGTAAACTAACCCTAAACCAACCCGAAACTAACCCCAAATGCACCCTGAACCAATCCTTAAACAATAAACCCTAAACCTAAGCCAACCCTAAACCAACCCTAAACTAACCCTAAACCAACCCTAAATACACCCTAAACCACACCCTAAGCCAAACCCTAAACCGTAAACCTAAACCAACCCTAAACCAAATCAACATAAACCAACCCTAAACCAACCCTAAACTAACCCCAAATACACCCTAAATATACCCTAAACCAATTCTAAACCAACCCTAAACCACCACAACCCAACCACAGGACCACAACCACAGGGGGGGGGGGGGTACTTGTCTGACCCATGACCATTGGTGGGGGGGGGGGGGCTGGCAACGCTGTACCATATATACATATTTAAGGGCAAAATGGAAATCCACTGTCTCGGAGGGGTTCCCTAGAAAACCACTATTTTCGGAGGGGTTCCCTAAACAACCAAATGAGTTTTTCCTTAACTTGACTTAGGCGATCCGCCTGGATTGGTGGACCACCAGTGTGTCTCGGGTAATTCTTCAGGGTCACCACTTGACTTGGGATGGACAAAAAAAAAGTTGCTTTCCTACCTGCTGCAATTGCCCAACAGCAAACTCCTAAACATCCAACAGGCCTGATCCAGGACACCCCCACCTTGCTCCATCCACCCAGCCAGCCAGCCAGCCAGCCAGTCAGACAGCCAGCCAGCCAGCTATCCATGCACCGACCCACCACCCACCCATCCATCCAGCCAGCCAGCCAGCCAGCCATCCATCCATCCATCCATCCATCCATCCATCTGCCAATTCGCCGTCTCGCGCCCGTCTGTCCGTCCATCCGCCCGCCCGTCCGACTGTCCATACATCCAATGAATCAAATCCATCCATCCACTCCATCCGACCCATCCGACCCATCCCACCCATCCGAATCCATCCGACCCATCCGAATCCATCCGAATCCAATCCGAATCCAATCCTCCAATCCGAATCCATAAGAATCCACTCGAATCCAATCCATCCGGCGATCGACCAAAAAGACCAGCTCTCACCAATCAGCTTTCAAGCGATTCCAAGGGTCTGAGCTCCCTATGTTTAGGAAAACACCCATGGATCAGTGCTCGTCAATGCCAAAGGAATTCTTCCTGCAAGCCCGTTCGTGACTGGACAGATGGCCCCCAACACATTTTGTTCAGATGGGGTGGAGTTTCAAACTTCAACAGGGACTGGAGATCCGTACAATCTAACCACTTCAACATGGCCGACATGCCTTGATCAAGGCTACCAACTTCTGCAAATCAACCTGTCTCCCTTAAGGGCCGGGGGTAGTGGCACCCCTCTTGGAATGAGTCAAGTAATACATCAGTTTCGAGCGTATCCTGGTCAGAAAGCACTACCCTGAGGCCGGCACGGTCAGGAAGTACTGCTGAGCATCCTCACACGTGGTACAACCTCTTACCCAATGCTGTCGGGTGTGATGGCGGCTTTGGGACTCATGGCGAGGAAGCTGGAAGCGCTGCGCTTCCAAGTTTTGACCTTCAAGCAGCTGTGCTCATATAGCGGAAGCCCTGAAATCAACCCGTGGGCGCAGCCAGGGGAACTGCAAACATAGGCCTGTGTCAGTGCATGGCCCTAGATTCCCACAAAGCACTTTGTCTACAACTGGTAATCTCAGCTCTCCAGACAAGAACCATGACTAGACATATATATGGATGCATGTGCATTTGCCCCATGAGTGGCTTCTTTGGGTTTCCCTTCAAAAGCCAACCTTTGGAAACCCCCGTAGTCTCCAATAAGGGCACCTCTGAAAATGGCGCAATGCTTCACGTGAATTCCGTTTCAAAACCAGGGAGCGACCAACACCAGCAGTGCTAAACCCATGGCCAAAAACGTTTGCACAATGTGACGTGGGCACCACATCAGTCGAATTGACGGGACCAACAAACCGTCTGCTTCAAAATTCCTACGGTCTTCTCGGGGCCTTTGGTAGACACCATTATTTTGGTTGTGTCTCTTTCCAAATGGTGTCTTTTTCCGTTGTGTTTTTCCCGGGAAAAAAATGCGGGTTTTCCTGTTGGCGTTTCTTTTCGAAAAAGTCGACCCCCCCCCCACGTCTTTGGAATTTTGCGCTCCCCCCATGTCAACAGGGCCGCGGTCTCGCGCTCGCTTCTTCGCCCCACGCGAAGAAGCGCGGAGTTTGGGTCTCCGGCGCCCTGCCAAAGGCCAGCACCCCACGGGCCTAAGGTCGATGGTTGGAATGGTCGTATGGGCAACTCGTCTCACTTTGTAGCCGGTTCACAGCTTTTTGTGACAAGGGAGGTTGACCTCTCTCCCTGTAACATGGCAGCTCCTCCAAGAGGTATTTGATCTTCCAGCTACCCATGCCATGTTAGTGGGAGGGAGGGGAAGTTCACGGAAATCTGTGTTGCGCTTCGACCCATTTGGTTTAGGGTCAAAGCCCAAGAGTTGCTCTCTTCTTTTTTGGTCCACCCCCTTGTGGTCAAAACCCACCCACCCACCCATCCACCCACCAGCCATTTTGTTTTGGTCAAGCCCCTGGTCAACGTTCTTCTCGAATGCGGGGGGACGGTATGTCTTGCTAAGGTGCGCCTTTGGGGATTGGTAGTTTTCTCTTGGCTTACCTCTAACTATCAAGACAATCCCTCTCTCTCTCTCTCTCTCTCTCTGTCTCTCTGAACACCAAAAAAACTCCACGGTTCCATGGTTCCGCTTGAAAGGTGTAGGGAATCACCCAAATGCCCAACAAGTGTTCTTTGTAGATGCAGGTGCAAGCAAACCGGGCCACCTCAGACTCACCTACAAAAAATGTTTGGCCTGAAATGGGTTTGCTGCTGGGATCAGCACAATTGATGAAGAAACGTGGTCCTTCACTTGTTGTCTGCTGGGCAGGGCGAGGATCCTCTGGAGATGTATTGCTTTTAGGGTACGGATGGATGGATGGATGGATGGATGGATGGATGGATGGATGGATGGATGGATGGATGGATGGTTGGATGGACGGACGGAGGGATGGGTGGGTGGGTGGATGGCTGGGTGGGTGGATGGATGGATGACATCCAGCTTTGGGTAGGGGCAGAGAGACTGCATGGCGTATCTTGAGCACGTGCTGCTTCTGTTATCAACAGCAGCAGGTTGTTCGCGTGAGTGCCTGCCGCTTTGAGGGCCAAACTACAGCAAATCAGCAAACTCAACGCAGAGTTTCAGCAAATTGTGGCCAACTGCTGGCTTTGCCAGTGGTTGCGAGCTGTTAAGTGCTGCACAGTTTGGACGGGGAGCAAACATAGTGCAGCCAAGACAAATTTGTGTTGGCACCAAGCCGAACATAAAGCAGCCGACCGCTCGCGTGCCGCGAAGCTACATGTTGGAGACAACACCATTCGCCAGAACCCGCCCACACTGCTCTGACTCAGCCCAGCCTGTGCCAATGGACTTCACGATGGCACCGAAGGTGATCGTGATCGCCGAATGGTAGTTGGCATTGTCGTAAGCCTTGTGCAAATCCAAGCATCTTTGAGATGTCCTTAACTCGGCAATTCACCTGTGCTTCGTCAACCAAATTCAAGAAATCAATAAAGGACTAGATTTTCAGCCTGAGCTATGGCCGGTACACCACGCTTTTGTATGACCGCCAGCTGTCCAGGCTATGTGAATCATGTGGGATCCTTAGCTAAGAATCAAATGGATGGTGGCAACCACCAGCTGGCACAAGTACACAGCTGCTCTAGTGGCTTGCGTTGCCATAGGTGAACTTTTGGAACAATAAAATGGCCCCGGTAAATGGAATGAAACCAATCTAAACGGAAAGCAAACTAGAGGTGTCACAATCCTTTCCTTTTTGAAGGAAAACCAAGGGGATATCAATCCTCTATTTCTCCCCAATCTAAAACGGAGACCAATGTGCGGGGCATGAATGGGCGTTGCGCATCTGCCAAGGACGAGGCCACCATCACCAGTAATACAACCGAAGGGTTCTGTAGCATAGTCTGAAAAAAAAAAAAAAAAACCTGTCTGGAAATGTCAAACAAATTTCCAGGTATGGGGTTTTGAGGTATGCTTATATACCGCTGGCGTAAACTGGTAAGGCAGTATACCTACTTGTATAAGGATATACAACCTCCATACCTCCAAAACCCTTCTCCATCAAAACCACTTGAACACAACAGAACAGCTTTGCGATGTCCCCTTGTGGAGTCCGCAATCCGGCCGAGCCTGAAGCCAAGCAGAGATGTCCTGGGCTAGGTCCCATTGGCGGAGAAAAAACATCGGCGGGAGCCGGAAGTTCGATCCCAACGTCACAAGCTGGAACTCACCGGGGAAGCTGGGAACGGAACGCCACAACAAAAAAACATGCAGCCACTGGGGCTGGCCTGACTCACTGCCTCCCTGGCCTGCCTCCCTCCTGCCTGCCAAAAAACGCATGCCTGCCTGGGTGGATGGGGTGCTTTGCCCCGCCCAGCTTGTTCCAAGGTGAGCGCGTGAAGGCACGAGGTGCAAGGGGCATGCCAGTGGCCGAATTCCTGTCCCAAAGACCACCCGTTTCGGGCCTAAACGGCCTGAGAAACCGTCGTCTGGTGGCCTTCAACGGCATAAGATGTGCCCCTCTCAGCTGAACTTTTTGAGGAGCCAAACCGGTCAGTCCTGGTCCAGGTGCCGACGCTGGTTGTCACACTGGTTGTTGAAGAGCTCCGGCTCTGAACAATCTCCCCTGGCCAAGGAGTTGTGCAAAAGGGACGCGAGCAGGGAAGCAAATTGTTCCGGTCCAGACTCACACCAAAATGTCTTTTCTTGAGGGTACCCCCGTTTCAAAGGGAATCCAAAGGGAAATCCAAAGGGAAAGCACAAGTTGTTGGGGGGTGCCCCAAGAAAGAACACATCCACATCCATCTCTGTGTCCCATTGCCTCCAAAGACTGGCCCCAAGGAACCCATCGAAGAACAACATGCGGGTCTGTGTTCTGGGAAAGCCCCGAAAGTCTGTTTTAACCAACCACGACATGTCATGCAAAAAAAAGACGTTCCCTACCACACAAGCCATGGGTTTTCCATGCCCTCAAACAATATCCACAGAGAGATCCCCTACCACAAGGGGGAGCGGGGTGGGGGGTCCCCAATTCCAGCTATCTAGTCTTCCCCTAAGGAAATGGAACCATAAATGGAAGTCCAGGGGTCACCCCCCTCCCCCAATTCCATATTTAAGGGGGTGGGATACAGAGAGTTCAAACGAGGCCCCCCCGGCGCCTGTGGCAGTCGGTACAGTAGGAAGCCACTGCCACAAAGGCGCTGGCCTCACATGGTTCGATAGCACCGGTTCGAGAGGCACCCCAAGACGCCATCCCGAGACTTCCATTTGCTTAAGCCCCCTGGAAAAAATAAACATGTCCAATAGTGATAGATTCCCTTTAAAACCAACAGTGCAAAATGACAGTAATAATAAAAAGATATTAAGCAAATGGAAGAAGGGAATGAACCTTGAATGAACCTTGGGAATAAGGGAATGACCCTTGTGATTTCCTTCAAGATCCCAAGGTTCGTTCCCAAAACCCCCAAACAAATTCCCTGGAAACTGAGAGGATGAGTTGCTGGGTCGGCTGGTGAGACACTGAGAGTCTGAATGCAAATGGTCCAAATCCCAAAGTGGCTGATTCCCATCCTTGCGCCTGCTTCACTTGAAAGTGGCTTCCCCAAGAATCCAAACGCACATGTTCACAACCAGGTCCAACGCGTGGCTAGTCACCAGAGAAAGAAAACTGGGCGCTCCATTCTCTCAGTCAGCGGCAATCCGCGCCATCCTCCCCCAAAAAATGATGGTGTTGGAATACACGTCCCTGGTTCATTTCACACGCACAAAGGCCCACCGCCGCACAGCGGGGCAGTGGAACACACGGAAATCAGTTCCGCAATTGTCAATCGCTCCCAGAGTTCCAATTTGTTCATTACTCCTCAAACTTCAAGGAGTGTGGACGTCTCCAGGGACAGCCCTTTGTGGGAGCCTACCTTTGATCCCAAAATGGAACCCTGGCTCTACACCTGTCTTGTCCCCAGCGACAGCTATGGGATCTTAGCAACTTTGTGGCAGCCCAAAGGTCGGCGGTTCCTTCATATCCCATGTCCTTTTGGTTTCCCTTGAAACCTGCCACAAAGCTGGTGCCGAGCCTCGAACAAAGACAAACCCCATGATTCAAAAACAAACAAAAAATCCGTTTACGAAACCGAGCTGGCCCACCTCTAAGACCGCACCCGTGGCTCGCCAAGAAACAGACTTCGGACTTTCCTCACCAAATTCCACATAGAACCTCAAGGAATCCTATTCTGTGATTTGCGCTAGATTGGATCTAGTTGGGCCCAATTTCCCTTGGGATACACGCTTGCCAGGTGCTGCTCTTCTGATGTTTGAGGGAAGCTCAGTCCTTCAAACTGAACGTCGACAGCTCTTCTGGTTGATGTCCTGCTTTGCACCGTCAACAGCTCTTGGACAAGGCTTCCACTGGGCTCAACAAATCAGCCGCTGTGCTCAACAAATCTGTTTTCCTGGAGCCTATGTCCTGGGCCCCGCGCGGGAACGCTCACCGGTGTCAGCGACACCTGAGTCTTCCTTAGTCCGCGTCTAAGGAGAGGTGTCACGACTTGCGGCGAGCAGCTGCATGCATAGCGCATGTTCAAAGCTTCACATTCTAAAGCCGATGTTGTGACCCCCAATGGTGCAATAAAGTCATTTCCCGAACAAGCAGCTTGAACACAAAACGACGAACTTACCTAGCAAGCAAGACTTGTCTGCAATATTGGGTTGAAATTGGCGCTAATTACAATGTCAAACTTTTGCAATGGTCAGAGAAGTCATGGGGGCAGCTCCAGAACACCCCGACACTCCGGCAAACTGCCCCTCTCACTGGTTCTCATGGGGCGCCTGTGCTTGCAGCACGTCATGCAATTGCCAGCCAGCTGCTGATAGCCGTCAGCTCAGAATACATAAGAACCATACGCAAACACGTAGGCGTCTTCTTTGTTAGGGTGTCCTTTTGCAGATGGTTGGCTTAGGGGAAAAGGCACTCACCCATTTTGAGCATTCCATCGAGAGACGGACCATACTTGATGCCAGGCCAAGCTGCACAACGGCCTTCAGCATGTTAGAGTTCAAGAAGTCTGGCTCCTCTACCTCCCATGTCAGCTAGAACGTTTAGACATGCACAATGCACACCAGTCAAGAAACAGGAAGCTAACCCGAAAAGCCACCAGCGAAACTAGGAGGAGAATCACCCAGACTTGGTCCGATGGAGTTCTTTCTACCTCGGCCTTCCCAAAGTGGCTCAATCAGCCGCAATGTCTGCCACGTTGAAACTTAAACCATGACAAGACTGTGCCAGTAAATGACATTAAATGCAGGTTCAACCATGTCTCAGTAACCACATAAGTGTGTTTGTTATCACATAAGTGTTTGTTATTCCTGTCCAGATCAAGTGATTTCAACCTGCCGCAACCCTTCCACGGCGCTTCCGCAGCCTGCACGGGTACCTTCCGCGAAGCGTTTTGTTAGAAAACCGCTTTAGAGGCCTTTTGCCTCCGCGACCACGGTTTTAGCCTTTCGTTGTTCGACTTGTTGCTGGTGCACCTGCTGCGGTTGCCGCTGCCTCGCTGACGAGCATTCTCTACGCCAAGTGCGATCCCGATGCGTTTTCCAATGGACAGCGCTAATAACCTCCAGGGAAGTGTAGGAGCTGCCGCTGCTCGCAGAAGACGAGCTGGTGGTCTACGAGCGGGCTTATGGAGTCAAGCGCGGCCCGACCAAGAGCATCCTTCCACTTTGGATCAGCGCCAAAGTACAAAAGCTTGCGGACATTGCTAGAGTTTTGTCGCGTTGCTGCCTCATGCAAGGGCTACTTACGCGTAAGAAAGACCAAACAAGTAGGAGAGAAAACCGTTCCAGTAAGAAAGTTCACTTGACCTTGCTCGGAGCCGGCTGATGTACATCACCCAGAAACTGAATTGGGTCCTTGATGCTCTTCCCATGCGTGGCTCAAGGATGTCCTCAGAACTAGTCAAAGCAGAACCATCGCGATTGACTTCTGCTACCGCACACTCTTCAGAAGCTGACAATTCAGGAACTGGATCCACTCGACCGAAGATAGAAGCGATTCGAGGTAAACTCACAAGATAATGAAGAACATAATGCGGATGTCAGATACCTGTCACGCAACCATAGTGGGTACCAGGCTGTAGCCCTCGGTCAAAGCGTCCCAGTCACTCTTTCAGTCTCAGCCCATGCTGAGAAGCACAATTGTCTGGGTTCCTCGTGCTTGCCACGTGCCAATTGACACGCAAACAGACACACGCACATCAGCACACCCTGCGGAAAGCACACACACACACCAAAAAAAAAAAAAAAACGTTGCGTGATTCATGCCAACATGCTACCATGCAGTTGAATGTAGCCATGTTAGGTGCTTTTGCCATGCTCTGGTTGCTTCGTAGTAAACGATGTAGCAAATGCACGGCGAGGACCAAATGCAATCAAACCCTAGGCACGATTCGATTGATCACCAGACCAGGGAGCCAGCTGGGGACCTTGTGGAGCTTGGTTTAGCCTTGGAGATTGGTGCTTTGCAGCAAATACTTGCTAGTCATGTTTCCGAATCAAGCTTGCGCAAATCTCCATTTCAGCCATGAGTGGCACTTGCTGCCATTTGCAGAGGGAGAGTTCTCACAGCCAGCTTGCTCCAGGTGCAGGAAGTCAGGAAGATGGATTGGATAAGGAAAATAAGGTTTGAACAGTTCAGCTGCATGATTGAGGCGACCACGAATGAATCAACTGACCCAGTAATGCTCCACGATGTTGTAGGTGCTTGATGGTCTTCGCAAAGTTCAATGCTCCGGTTGAAAAAGAAAACAAAACCGGCTGAAAGCTCTCAGAGTGAAGCGGATGCTTTCAGTGAGCGGACCGGCCTTGCCGCAAAGGTTGTTGAAAGGCGGGCCGGCGCCCGTCTCACCATCTGGCAAGGGGAGAGCTGCTCAACAAAAAGGGCCCCGTTTTGGGGGGCGGGGAGGGAGGGGTTTTGCTCTTTTTTTTCGTGCCATCAGCATCACAAGAGCACTTTGGAGCCAAAAACATTAGAAGCTCTCAAACAGGCTGCAGCTGGGCTGAGAACTGGTTTGCTTAGAGGCCCACCGTGGATGGCACAGACCCAAGGAATTCTACACCAACTAGGCGGTCCATGTGCAGGTAAACCTGTCCGAAGTGAAGCACACGTGCTCGGATAAAGCAAAGAGTGCTCCGATTGTGATTCCGAAATGAGATACCCATCCCTATGACGACTGTGTCACTTTCAAGGGAGATTCACAAACAGTGGCCCTAACACCTAATTGTGTACCAGCACGGTGACATGATCAAGTACAGAACTGGTGGCTGATACTCTTGGAGAAAATAGTGCGGATTGACCAGGTGGGGAAGGTGGTTCGATTTGTTGGCTTTGTGCTGAGCTTGAAGTAGATTGAGTCGCAACCGATGATTAAGCTTCCTTGCTGCACCAAAATTGGCTTGACATCGGCAGAGCGGGTCAATCAGCACAACGACTCTCTCCCTGTTAATGACGAGGGTCCGTTCCAAGCCCCAATCGCTAAGCTGCGCCCCACCGCCTCAAAACACACAAACACAGGCAAATGGAATCCCCAACAGCCCAGAACCGTCTGGAACCCCTCCGGAACCCTCCCTGAAAGCTGCACCAACCCACCCCAAAGCCTATCTGGGCTAAACGAAGAAAAAAACAAAAACATGGCTTTCAGGAGAGAAAAAAAACGTGGCTGGGCCGCTGATGGTGTTCAAGTATCTCCGCGCGCCCAGCATCGTCAAGGGCACCGGGAGCATCTGCTGGTCCCCGACAAAGATGGACGCAGCCAGAACCTGAGCCCAGACCCAAAATGAAAACGGCGCAACGGCTTTCCTTTTGGCTCCCTTCTAGTTTGTTTGGCTTTCCTTTTGGCTTCCTTTTGGCTTCCTTCTATTTTTGTTTGGCTTCCTTTTGGCTTCCTTTTGGCTTTCTTTTGGCTTCCTTTTGGCTTCCTTTGGCTTCCTAAAACCAAGCAACAGGGGGCGGCCCACAACTCAAGACACACCCAAATCGCACTCCGCTGTTCCTGTGGTTGTCAATGAGGATTCCACTACTGGGGGGCCCTTGACTAACCACGGGAACTGTGTATCTATCTAAACATTGATACAACGTAGAGATTTGTGAATACGAGGGTGCAAATGCATATTGCTAGGCTGGTCAGCGAGTACTCTTCAAGAGCCAGTACCAGAACCGCTCTTCGGCAGAAGGACTCTAGCTGGCGCAACCTATCAGATCAGTCGCAGCCAGTCACCAGATCTTACTTATTTGCACAATGAGCAGACATGCTGACTGCACGTGCTCCTAGATAGTTTGTCTACGGAGATATCCGACCTGAGCCCACAGACTTGCCATCCCAAAAGCAGCAGCATTTGCATAGACCCCTTTAAAGGCCAGTGTCCCGTTGGTTCTGTACAATCGCAGGTTTATTGTTGCAAGTGTATCATTTCAGTAGGGAACCTTTTTGGCTCGGGCCGGCTTCTATCACAACAAAACACTCCGCGAGCTAGAAACATGCTATGGACCCATTCCTAAAACTTCAGCTAGCCGTCAACATGTCTATGGCTCAGTCAAGTCTGCAGGCTCAAGCGTGATGTATTTCCACTGAATCCGATCCAACATACTCTGAGCAAACCTGAAAACTCGCACCCTTTCGGCGAAGCTGTTGCCTACTTGCTCGCGATTTTTTTCCAGGGGCCATGTCGGAAGCTCCTAGAGTGGCCTCGTCATTTGAAGATGTGTCCTGCGGCTTGAGGTGCAGAAGCGTGTTGGTCCTCTGAAGCTACTTTTTGTTGTTCCCCCTTTTTTCCTTGTTCTTGTTTTTGTTGCTTCTTCTTTGTTTCTTTTTTTCTGTGTTTCCCTTTTTTTCTCGAGCGGAAGGCACCTCGGGGTAGAAAATGACCAGCGACTCGTCCTGGCCAAGCAACCCCCAAAGCTCCCACAACCAGACCACCCCAGGCCCACCCGTGTCAAACTAAGCTCTAGTTACAAAGAACCCCCTCACCTCTACCAATCCATCCTCTCACACACAAAGGACATGGTGGTTTCCAATCAATCGAAATCTCTCAGGGGATTGCGGTCCCCTAGTTTATGCAACACCAGCGTAATCAAAACCTGGCATTCAATGCATCCACCCCTAGCCATGGTAAAACTCAACAGGCGAGTTTGGCCGAGACTCGTGAGAGGAGGAAAATCTCCCATTGCCCAAAGTCTGAAAGTCTGAAAGTCTGAAAAGCACACCATCTTGAGGTAAGGAATTTGATCCAGGATGCTGACGGAAATCATGAACATGGGGTGTTAGAACTGGCCATGTTTCAGGAATTAGTTTGGCGTGGCCCGGGGTTCTCCCCAAACACGTGGGCATAGGGTCGAATGAAGAGACCCGGTTCTCCGCAAAACTTGACTTGCACCCACCCCGCGGGCTTCTTCATGCTCTCAAACTTTTTCGGACAGGTGGCTGAAACTTCCCGTTGGGGTCTCTTCTTGCAAGCGCCAAAAAAAAGGCCCGGTTTTTCACTTTGGTTTGCACTTCGAAACCTAGAAAAAGGGGAGAGAAAAAAACGAGACTCCCCCCGCCTGGCTGTTGGCCACGTGGCACAGCTGGGCGCCACCACCCACATCCTGAAACGCTCGGCCGAGGTGCTCGGCTTCAAGCCGGTCGGCTTAGATCTTCAACCAGTTTCTACTTCAGCTACCATCGGTGATGTGCAGTGTGCAAAATGACACAGGGATCCTTACATTATACACCTGAACATTGCCTTGTAAATGGTGGCTTCCATTTATTTTGGTGGAAAAAGCCATGTTTCAAATGGGCAACATGTATCTTTTAAGGAGCCCTGTGACAACACAAAAGAGTTGGCTATTTTTTTGCCGGGCGAAATACCTACGGGAGGTTGGGCTACTTTCAATCCAAATTCGGGAAGCTGTATAATTGTCTTAGCCCCTCATGTTAGCTTTTCAGACAAGGACCTGGGACAATTAGGTGTCCCCCTGGCTGCGGGACGCTTTTCCAATATGTCCTCCCCCAAACCAACAGGTAGGTTGAAAACTGTATTTTGTCGTCTCTGGTTCTGAATTAGGACTTGTTTGCACCTGCCGCCCATGGCCAGGATTTGTCTAGACAAGAGAGCTGAGCGCAAGCTCACATCTCTCACAGGCATACTGATGTAAAAAGAGATGTGAAATAACTCTGATGGGGGCAAAAACCCTTGGGCGCCCTTTGCTAGCTATGCACAAATGAAAAAGGCAAAGATACTCTCTCACTGATTACCCCATCCTTAAAGCTACAAGAAACCATGGTGCATTTGACCTACATCATCTGACATATGCATACGATCTGTTGTTTTGCCGTACTTGTGTATACGTGTGTAGTTGATCCATGCCAGGCGCGTTTGGTGGCTGAATGCTGACAATTCTGTTGCATCACTATCGCAGTGGCTCATCCCCCAAGATCAGAGACAAGGAAAAATGACATACCCTAAGTGTTGCGATGCTGATTGGACCTGGTCACTCCAAAACCCAGGAGTAAGACGATGCCGAGGGCCAAACTTTGGCTAAACCGGTCACCTGCAAAACCATCACATTGCTCCGCAACGGGTTTAGTGGAAAAACACGTCCTGAAAGTAGATGAAGCCTTGCTGGCTGCGTCTTAGTGGTGCCAAAGTGTTCACAGGGACTTTCTTAACGCATGTCAACTGACTTTGCTGACTAGTTTAGGAGTTCTACAACTTCCCCCCGGCGCAGTCCATGCCGGCGATGTCTGTGAGCGCCTGAGCTCGGTGGCTGCGGGATATACCCACTTGGTTCTCTTGCTGAACCTTGAAGGAGTCTACATGAGGAATTCTGTCCAAGGGTTTCCCTATTAGAACCCATCGCGAAATGAACGGTCCTTCCCTGAAACACGCCGAGATCCATGCAAGGCCGTTCCAGCGCATTGCTTGCAATGTGGTTGTGTCATGTTTGAGGGTACTCTTTCAGGGCTTGGTTCAAAAGGAAACCAAAGGAACACAATCAATCCATTGTGAGACAAACGCTTGTTTTCTCGTGTTCACTCAAAGTGAGCTATTCAGCTTTCACCCTTTCTTTGTCACTCAAGTTCATGCATCCGTAATTGAATGAACCTTGAAATTGCCAGATGTCACTAGAGCTCCCTTTTGACAGCCATTTTGGTCACGGTCGCGTAAAACCGACTTGCCCGTGTCAAACCGACTTGTTCCCCGGCGTTTCATGATGGCCGGCTTCCTTTTGGCTTCCTTTTCAACCAATCCTTTTTGGGTAGCCCAAAGAAAGACAGACCCAAGTGGCATCCCACCCGGGCCCTTTTTTGTTTCAGGCGGCGCCTGCTGCGGCACTCCGCCGGCCATGAAGTCCGCGAGCCCGCAATCCCCGGCCTGCAGGTGCGGGAGCTCGAACACGCGAAGGACTGAAGCCATTTGGGGGGTCCGATTCCTGAGAAAAGCTGAGCCACCCACTGAGTCATAGTCAAAACCCGGCAATTCTTGGTCGCAATCCCAGAACCACGTAAAGAATGAAGCAGGCGGCCGCAACTATTTATGCTTGGGATTGTCCCTTACTGACCTTCATCTACCCGGGGGACGAAAGACAGGTCCCCCACTCAAGCCCATGTCTCTCCTCAGATCTGCGAAACTTGTGGCTCAGAATGGTCCAACGGAAGCCCCCACTCAACCCGAAGAACCGGACAAAACTAAAGGGGACGGAACCGATTTGGGGAATCCGTTTGGTGTCTCCGGCCCCTTTCTCTGCCAGGCTTGTCCCAGCCAAAATGTGACATGCGCGCCAGCTTCGCGTGACGTCAGGACCCAACCCCGCAAAGTCGGTCTCCTTCTCCGGACTTACGCAAGACGAGCCTCGTTGCAAGCTGGGTCCACAGCTCCCAATCAGCCCTCATGTGTGAGAACCCGCCACGGCATTAAAAATTGGAAGGATGGGAAGACGGACTGACAGGAAGATCTTGCATCGCTGCGCGGGTCGGGCGCGGCTTGGCAATGGTTTTCGCCACATGAAGGGGGCTGGTTTGGCAGGTATTAGGGGGAGCATTTTTCTCCCACGCAGCCAGCATTGGCCGGTGGAACGAAACCCCAATGCTGTCCTCAAATCGCCAAAAACCCGCAACAAGATTTCTGAACCTCGCCCTTACCCAGCTCGCAAGCCAAACGTGCAACTGCAGGCATCTGGAAGCTACAGTCAGGCAGCATGATCCGCCTCCCTGTATTATCGGCAAACGAACCTCCTTTTCGCTTCCTATGGTCTTGCAACCTAGCCAGTTCTGCGCAAGGATGAGACGATGCTATGTAACGCTGATTGGGGGAGAGCCAGCTGGTTTCATCCTGGTGTCCATTCAAGATCTCTTCCTTGGTCTTTCTGCTTCGGTGCTTTGCAACTTGGCATGGGATGGCTACATCTACAGCTCTAGCCAGGCTATGTACTCCCCCCCACATGCTCTTCTTTTCAGCAAACTCAGGGGTTCTAAAAATATTCTTAATCCCTGATTCTTTTAACCCACCTTTTTAAAGGACGGTGGGTGAAAAACAATCAGGGATTCAGAATGGGAACCGCATCCTTCGGCGTTCGTGGATCGGTCCGTCCGTCCGCCTCGAGGTTGGCGGTGTTGCACAGGGTGGGGTGGTTCATGGTATGGGCCTCCAGAGCCGAGCATCTAAAGCCTACGCAGGAATCAAATGGCCGTCACAAATAGGGTAACCCCAAAATGGCTTGGGAACCCTGGTAAGTGGAAACATGGACCAAAATCTGCGGTCCCCTGAGTCCCCGGTTTAATTTTGACCCACACCCAAATTGACTTACATGGCTGTGGTTGTCAAAATCGTTTGGGATCCCATTTTGGTCGGTAGGTGAATTCACCACCCATTTTCGGACCTATTTCAGTGGGGATTGGCATGTTCACTGGGGGTACGGGATTTTGACCCATGGCCACATGAGGATTCCTGCCCACCGGACCTATATCTTACTTTTGAAGGGGGAGTCCAGATTAAAACTATTCAACAATAATACTGTATGCCAAAAGGGGAATGGGTGCCCCTGAAATGGTTTGTTTCATGTTGATTCTTTTTGGAGTTAGACGCTTTGTCCAACTAGTGTTGACACATACACGAATGGCCACGTAATTGCTCCCCTCAAACCCATCTAGTGAGGATCCTGACACTATTGTCAGAGGGCAGCGCTCACTTCAACTTAACACACACAGACACACGACAAAACCGGGGCTGTTCCAAGATCCCCTGCTACAAGTCTAACTTTTAGCGGTTTAGCGGAGACTACCTTTGAACCAGAACAACCTGAGACGGCAAACCACCAAGAAAGTACAAGGACCATCAGCACCGCACATTTTTGTCCGACGATTCCGCGCCTGAAGCTGGGAGAGCCAGTTCTCGTTCACGGGGCCCGGGGTTGCTACCACCAAGTAGTTGCCATCCTGACAGCTCCCATTCGGCATCTGAGGGCCATCCGGAGGCGATCACCCCAACCCCTGGAAGATGTTGCTCATGTTTTTCCAGGCACAAAAGGTGTTGGGTTCCAAGCGGGCAGCGTAAAATGTGCCGGAATACGTTGGAGTGCACTGTTTTATGCCCGCGGAGACCCCTGGTCTCGAACCCAAACTGCCAAAATGCACCATATAGACTGCTGGATTCTACGTCAACCGGACCTTATCTGAGGGAGTGATCAACTGGCGCCAACTCAGAAGATAAGAGCACGGTACTACGAACCAAACCATGGACAAGGCGCTTCGACAGCGCTTGCGGCTTTCACTGAGGTGTGTGCACATCTAAGCAGGCCGAGTTGGGTGCGTCTGCTGAGGGAAGCCTAAGCAACACGTCGGATCCTATTGTCCAAACTCAAGTGCCAATCCACTTGAGAGGTGATTGAAGAAACTGTTCTTGCCTGCCGCAGAGCCTCCGTTCGTTTCTTGATGTTCTTGGGAACAAGCGTCGAAATGTATGGGTCCCCCCAAAAAGGTGGTGCCATTGTTTGCTTCCTAGGCAAAGGCTACCCTCAAAAACACACAGGAAAACACTCCTTCCCCACACCACCCCCGCCCCACCCCACCCCACCCCACCCCACCCCACCCAACCACTACCCCCCCCACCCCCACCCCGCACGAGAAAACCTGATCTTGGCGTCAGAAAATTAAGAGACGGCATTGACAGCGCAGCCCGGAGTTGCGCGCAAGCGAGTGTCCAGCATAACCAGATTGGCTTGTGAGCACTTCATCTCTGACCCCCAGTCTTGTTTCACACAAGGTGGGGCCCCCTAAGTTAGAAGTAACTTATGATACATATATTTTAGTTACGATACTTATATTTAACTTAAGATCAACTTCTCTTGAGAACTTATAACTTAGTTAGCGTCAATTTAGAAGTAACTTATAACTTGTATAACTTGTTTGCGCGCTCGTTTTCAGAGTTGTTTGGCCGGGCATGTTTTCACACAAGATCAGGCGGGCAGAGCGCTCATGGTCTGTTTCCAGCAAAGGCGAGCTAGAAGTTCTATGTGCGAACTACAGGAAGCAAACATAGCGGCCGCCGTTGATGCTTGACTCATCGACACCGTAGGCTGTCTCTCAACAGGAGAAGTCGTTGCTCGCCGGCGGCCACGGAGATAGTTCAGGAGACGATCGGCGCTATAGAGCCGGAAAAAGGCAAGGGCGGTCCCAGTGGCGCCTGTTTGGTGCGAGTTCTTGCGATGCATGCGGGATGTAGTGGGTTGTGTGTGGGTTCTGTTTTTGGATGTATGTGGGTTGTGTGTGGACCGCTTTTTGGGATGTGTGTGGATTGTATGTGGGTTGTGTGTGGGTGGGCTTTTTACCATAAAAAAGTACATGATTTTGAAGAAACACGAGAACAAAGTGAAATTTGTCAGCTCTTCTTCGCTTTTTCGGGATTCCGGTGATGTGTGTGGGATGTGTGTGGGTTGTATGTGGGTCGTGTTTTGGGTTGTGTGTGGGATGTGTGTGGGTGGCCGCCCCCCCCCCCCCCCCCCCCCCCCAGGCTGTCAAGCTTGGCCAACTGGGGCCGCTGTGCCAGCCCAAGTCTCCTAGCCCGAGCACGTGTGCCGTGTGTGTGAAGGCCGGTCGGCTTCTTTTTGCTGCGCAAGCTTGATTGTTTACATGGGGGCAAAGAACGTGTGCTGAGGCCGCACAGTCCACCAAACATGCTCCAGTCGCTTCACCCGGCTGATGGCTACATACGCAGCCCCGGGCACACGGCAGCTTGGATGGATAATGATTTTCCTTAGGGTGCGTCCTTGCATTTTTGCAATGGTCACCCAGTACCCATAGCACATGAACGACGCCCAGTCTTGCAGAGCTGCGCGAGCGCCCGCTGCCGCTGCTCCGCCGCCCACGGCCATCTGGAGGCACGCCCGCAGGAACGAAAAGAAGAAGAAGAAGAAAGAACCGAGACAGCTAGAACAATGCCAAATGTGCCAAACGTACGCCGCGCGTTGAAATCACCTTGGATAGACTACAAGTTATCCAAACGCAGCTTTTTGCTGCCAATGCTCTTGAAACCCCGAAGCCGCATGTTCTTTTTCGTAAGTTGTAGCTAAGTTGCTTAAGTAACTTCTGATCCAACGTACATAAGTTTTCTAAGTAACTTATCAAAGTTCCATCTAATTAATAACTTGAGTGTATACTTATGAAACTTGTAAGTCATTTGGCGAGGTTATAACATGATTATAAGATGTTTATAACGTATATATAACATACTTATAACATAGGGGCCCCACCTTGCAGCAGCCAGCCAAAAAATACGGTGAAGGGCAAAATGTCACAATGTGCTCTCTGCACGCAACAACTGCTCACCAAGCCACAATCGCTGCGCCCACTGTCTTCGAGGCATGGAAATGGCGCTTCAAGCGGTTGTTGGGTCTCAGCTGCAACGCCATCGGCAGGGATGTCTCCCTTTTGCCCCGCTGCAACAGTGGTCTTGGAGGTTCCATACCAGCAGAAGTTGGTCGGAACTTCATGTCTGTGAGCCGCGCAGATGCCCAATCATCAGGCAGGAGGCGATACTGTCCCGCGGCTTTTGCTTTGCCGTGGAGAAAGGAGCTGGATCGTGAAAGCCACGTTGACCTTGTCAATGTTTAGGGCAGGATGCGGCAACCATCCAAGGAAGGGTACTTGCGAAGAACTGGCTGTTGGAGGTTGGCTGACGGACACTGGGCCTCACTCACACACTTGCCGCTCTGCTCCATCAGCTGACGTGCTCCAGGCAACCGCAAACCTTCAACGTTTGCTCTTCCCAAGCGATGCAAGAAACTTTTTGGTCTGCGGCCAACAGGGTTGCAAAGCCTGCTCCTCGGCAAATTGGGACTCGGCGGAGCCGCGCGTTCTTGTCCGCGTTCTAAAGGAACCAGGGATGCCTAACACAACACGTTTTTTCTTCGAAGGGGACACGACGGCCGGAGCCGTACGTGAACGAAGGAAGCGGCGGGCACAATATTTTTCTTCAAAGGGGATGCGACGGCCGAAGCCGCGCGTTCCTGCTGGGCTGCTCGAACGGAGGACGCGGCGGCCGGAGCCGCGCATTCCTTGCCGGCCTTAGGGGTTCTAAAACGCCTGACACAAAACGCTTTTTGTTCTAAGGGGACGCGACGGTCGGAGCCGTGCTTTTGTAGTAGGCCCGCCCACTGATCAGGCAACGCACCTGCATGGCTCCACACAATACAAGGCGCAGTTGGACCCATGCCATTGTTGCAACTGCAGCAGCCGCAACGGGCTCACTGGGTGGCATCGCTCACAGAGATTAGCGGGGTTTCAGGCTCACACTCCGGGTCTTTCACAGCTCATCGGCAAATTGGCAAGCATGGGGCCTCCTCTCCCGACCATTCTCTTTTTGGCAAACTTCGCAGCGCGCTGCCGCAGATTTCAAGAGATGGAAATTGCGGCTATTTTGAAGATGGGAACTGCTTCAGCTGGTGAATTGACCCCAATTGCTGCCGGTTGCACACGCCGGTGGCCTTGTGCACCCTATATATTCCCCCCTCCCCCACATCAATGCGCATGATGCTGGCAATGCTGGGGATGCTGTCCACAGCTACGTCCCCAGACCCCCACCCCTTTCACCCCGACACCCCCGCCACGAAAAACCAACCCTAAACCATCGCCAACTAACCCCGAACCAACCCTAAACCATCGTCAACTAACCCCAAACCAACCCTAAACCAACCCTGAACACACAACCCTAAGCTATCCCCAAAACCAACCCTAAACCCACAGGAAACAAACCCTAAACAAACCCCAACCAACCCTAAACCAACCCCAAGCAATCCTAAACCACCCCTAAACCAACCCTACCCCCACCTCCCAACGGAGTCCACGGCCTGGAACATATGTACGAGCAACGCGAATCGCTTGAGACGTGCTTGAGTCAGCTTCCCAATTAAAACACACCTGCGTTTCCCACTAGGCGCAAAGCGAGGCAACTTCAGCTTGAGTAGGGGTCAGCAATTGACAACAAGTGGCAATGTTGCGCAAAAGCGTCATTTCAGATTGAGGTCTTGACTGCGTGAGACTGCCCACCCTGTCACAAATCAGACCCTACGTTTTTACATGTGGACGCTGGCGGTGCCAAGTCTGGAGGTGGGTTCAAGGTTTCACCCACCCCACCCCACCCCACCCCACCCCACCCCACCCAACCCAACCCAACCCCCACCCCACCCCTTGACCACACCACTCAACGCTAATTTCAAGAGGCGTGCGTGACATGGTACGGGGGTGCGGCAACCGTACCGAATTAGCGGCTAAAATTTCCAGAGTTAGGAATCACGCTCGGCCTTCCCTCCCTTTTTTCACTCCAGCAAGTAGTTTGTACAAAACAGAGAAACTGGTCCGGAAAGTTTCGGGGTTGCTTTGGCATCCAACCAATCCAAGTCGGCATCACTTTTGGAAGCAAGGCGGAATCACGTCCTTGGTGCAAAAAAGTGGGTAGCATTAGAGCTAACCATCATCGGCGACTTGGAGAATGCCTTTCCGTGCAACCCCTGGGACGGGCGGGCGGGCCTAAGACGGAAGCACTACGAGCAAAAGGGAGGAGCGGCGCGGCGGATTCCTAAACTTCGAACCGTATGTCAAGGAATCACGCTCGGCCTTCCCTCCCTTTTTTCACTCCAGCAAGTAGTTTGTACAAAACAGAGAAACTAGTCCGGAAAGTTTCGGGGTTGCTTTGGCATCCAACCAATCCAAGTCGGCATCACTTTCGGAAGCAAGGCGGAATCACGTCCTTGGTGCAAAAAAGTGGGTAGCATTAGAGCTAACCATCATCGGCGACTTGGAGAATGCCTTTCCACGTTCCCCTGCTCTCCGATATATCGGTAGCTCAAGTGCTTTAAGTTTATTGAACCACATGGTCTGAAAACACCTTTGCTTACGTGACATGACCCACGAGTGCTCGGTTAGAAGTGCAACTCCATCGG